TAACTATTTTCTCATTTTGCTCTATTTCGACAAAGAGTCCAAACAAAGCCACAGCAGAACAGTGTCCTCTACAAGCAACACAGCAGCCTTTCGTATTGAATGATTCGCTTTATTCCTCACTGAATGAATCAGCCATTTGAATGAATGATTTAATGTCTTATTCTAAAGACAGTAACTTACCGCCACCTACTGGCTGTTTTACTTTCATATTGTTGTTATGTATAACTTTATGTATTTGAAACATTAATATGATAGTGTTAGGCAATTATATATGTAGCTATGCAAATAAACACAACACAACAAATCATTGTGTATATCACATCCACCTGGCCTCTGTAACTGTCTACTCTGTAGCAATATCGTTTTCAATGCAAAAACATTACATTAATTCAAAATTTATTTACCGATTTACTCATTTAACGTTAGCGGATCGCCAGGTAGGCGTACAGCAGTGACAGACAGACACATATAACGGTGTCTGATGTTATATACAAGATGTTTCCCAGCCGACAGTTGTACTTTTGGCAGGAAAATGATCCCATAATGTCCTGGCTGTGCTTTCTAAATTTCCAATTGTTTTCATACTTGCAAAAGGTAATGAATGAAAAGTAGTTTGACCAATAGCGTGCAGGCATTGTACATAATCGACCAATTACTGCATGCGAGAAGGTGGGATCTACAGAGAACGTCAAAGCAGTGCAAATACACATACATACAATGTATATGTAGAGTATGTATATTGTATATCAATAGGAAAACAGACAAAACCCACACATTAAAGGTAATTTAGAAAGCACAGCCAGGGACATGTCAGGGAAAAATAGAACATATTGTCATCCTAGAAAGTGACATGTTATGACTATAACTTCTTTTGGCATAGAATATAAGAATATAATAGGTGACTGTGTGTCTATTTGCAGTATTAGTAAGTATTTAGTAATCCATCCATATTACAAAATATATAATGCAACTCTCCTGCCCCTTTCTGCAGAATTCATGAATATTATGTCATCTCATGTGAGCATTTCTTCTGCAGAGCTGTGTAGGATCAACGAACACCAGAAGGTGGCACTAGATTTAGACCCATATGTGAAAAAACTCCTTAATGCCAGGCGAAGAGTGGTGCTTGTCAACAACATACTCCAGAATGCACAGGTAAGAGACTGAGACTTTGAATATAAAACATCAGTTTGCTTGCTGTCTTCCTCTTCATCTTCTCCAATCTTTATGTTGCAGGAGCGTTTGCGAAGGCTGAACCATAATGTTGCTAAAGAGACGGCACGCAGGAAGACCATGCTTGAGGCATCTGGAGCATTTACCCCACGCTCTCCCAGCAAACCATGATGTCCGAAATCTCACATTTTGGGAATGCACCATTACACTGTGCTCAATGCCAAGGACCAACGCTGTAGATTTGCAGAATCTTCCTCTCATCATTAAAGGGCGCTGGGCTATGCAAAGCACTGCTAGCAGAACACTGCAGCATTAATGTCAGTTCACTTAAGAGGAGTCAGGGAGACAGCAGTGTAAATATGCACTCATTTCTTTCTTGAACATATGACTTTTTAATAAAATATTTGTCTGTATGAATTTAACTGTTGCTGAAAAATGCAATGCTGTGGATTTGCTAATTATTTGCAAATGTAGGATTTGAATAATTATTGTTATTTATCAGAACTGTCCGAGAAAATATCTAGTCTAATTTACCTGCAAATATTCTACTGTCAGTCTTACCATATTTTTTTCTTGGGTTTAGACTCTGTACACATTTTTATCAAATTATTTTCTGTTGCAAATGTGCTTAATGTATTCAAAGGAATCATTCACCCAAAAATGAATATGTATTCACCTTCAGGCCGTCCAAGATGTAGATGAGTTTGTTTCTTCATCAGAACAGATTTGGAAAAATTTCGCTTTCCATCACTTGCTTGTTATTGGGTCCTCTGCAGTGAATGGGTGCCGTCAGGATGAGAGTACAAACAGCTGATAAAAACATCACAGTAATCCACACCACTCCAGTCCATCAGTTACCATCTTGTGAAGTGAAAAACTGTGTTTGTAAGAAACAATCCATCATTAAGACTTGGTAACTTTACATGGTTGCTTCTGGCCAAACTACGAGTCCATAATAACGCCATATTAATGTCCAGTGAAAAAGTCCATCCCTATTGTTCTTACATCAAAATCCACCAACATTTATTATTTAGAACTGTTTTGGACTCTTTTCGCTTATAAATGGTGCTTACTTATATTATATGATGTTTATATTATATGTACATATTTCTCTCCTGATTCAAACGAGAATACTTTTTCACTGGAGAAAGCAATATTATTTGTATTTTAGTCAGAAGTAACAGTTTGAAGTTCAGTACATCTTGATGTTTCTTACAAACTCGCATCTTTTCACTTCACAAGATGTTAATTGTTGGACTGGAGTGGTGTGGATTATTGTGATGTTTTTATCAGCTGTTTGGACTCTCATTCTGACGGCACCCATTCACTGCAGAGCATCCACTAGTGAGCAAGTGATGTCTCAAGTTCTTTTGTCCTTAGAATGGCGAGTAACTTGACGACAGAATTTTCATTTTTGTGTGCACTATCCATTTAAAAAAACATTCAAAACTTATATTCTAAAATATTTGAATCTTAAAATATTTGTTTACTTTTTACATATAGATATTTAGCCTCTGAAGACTGAATACTATTCATTAACATAACTTTTATTGTCCATTTAAGAGTGTTAGAATTACTTATATATAAGTCACAGATCAAGCCAATACAAGTGTGTAGATATAAATGACAATTTTAGGGGGAAAATGAACTTCCCCAGGTATCCTGCATGGATGTTTATAATGCATGGCATTGCATTATAATTGAATCAGCGTAAAATCTTAGGCATGCACGTGTCTTGTAAATAGTGGATGCTTTGTAAGAGGATATGAGAAAGGGCAGATGAAGGTGACCTCTTGTTTTAGCTGAAAGGGAGAGGGTTAGGAAAAGATTTCAGGACAGGTGAAAGGTCAAGGGAGGGAATCTATCAAGGAGGAAGTTGGAATCATATGAGGGGCCTCCTAAAAGTCGCTCCGTTGATGAGAGATTAAAGACAGATTGCTGGAAATCACTTGACTGCTGCAACAAGTAAAATGAAAGAGTAAAAGCCTTTTGGAGTCTGCTCATATTTGATGCTCACTGCATATGCAAGCATGGCTAAAAGATGTGCATGTCACTGTATGTTGTTCCTGTAAAATATATCTATTTGTGTCCAAAAGTAGTGAAAATGCTAGAACATCTGATCTTTTGTATTTTATGCTTTCTTTGTTTTATAACCCTACACCTTTTGTTTATTTCAAGGTTTAAATGAACGAAATCCCAGATTTTCAACGTGGACTTCTGGGCACCTTTGTATTAGTCCTTCATTAAAGCTGTCAGTGGGGATTTAAAAAGAATAACTGCATCCCAAATGACGCACTATGCACTTATACACTATCAGTGCGTCCCAAATTGCGTACTTATACACTATTCGGTGACGTTTTGTAGTATAAATAGTGCGAGTAGTGTGTTCACACAGAAAATCCAAAAATAAAAAGTAGACTTTAAATACCCGGATGATGCACTTAAATAACCAAACAATGAAGTGTGGAATATTGGACACTTCATGCACTCAACTGTCGCAGCTTTAATTAAGTAGCGAAGGGGGAGGGGCTATAGGACTCCGATTATGAATGACAAAAAAGCTTTATTAAATTCATACACTACATGTTTGAGTACATAGTGCATAAATACATAGTGTATAAGTGCATAGTGGGTCATTTGGGACACAGTTTATATACTTATGCACTCAACCATGTAGTTTCATTTTTTCGGTTACTTTGCTTTTAGAACCGGAAGAACGAAATTGCTCCAAAAAAAGAAAAAAATAACCACTTTTCCCTTAATAACAGACATAATGAGTGATATTATTGTTTTCACTGATGTGCAACCTGTACATATATGTTAACATCTCAAAAAATGTGCTTTAGGGTCTCATGACCCTTTAAGTGCATCATCTTGGTATTTAAAGTGCAATGTGAACACACTACTCGCACTATTTATACTACAAAACGTCATAGAATAGTGCATAAGTACGAGATTTGGAACGCACCTTTCTAGTACAGAATAATAATAATAATAATAATAACAACAAAAAAATAAGTAAAAACATATATAAATTACAAAAAAAATAAAATAAATAATAATAAAATAAATAATATAAAAAAAGCCCACTAAAGACAAAAAAATACAAGGATGAATAACTATATACACAGGGGTATTAAAGTCAAATCCATATTTATAAAACGGATAGTTCCGGTCCTTGATTCTGATTGGTTGAGCCGCGTTCGAAGCTGTTGTAAATTACTCTACAAACATACACCTTTGTTTACTTATGTGTGTTGCTTGGCAACCACTTTGTTGGAACCACAACTGTTTCTGAGGAACTATATTGTTTGGTGGAAGAATACTGTTTTTATTAATATCATTACACTTTATTTGCTCTGTTTTATTTTGTGAAACCTTACTACGTATATGGAATAACCATTTTATAAAAGCAATAAACCCAGTGAAGCCGTGGTTTACAGTGAAAAACGCTTCACGTCGTGCCTAACAACGCCCCTTAGCTGTTATAAATTCACTGTAAACCACGGCTTCTTGGGGCTTATTATTATCTGCAAAATTAATACAAAAATTCTTAAAATGGATAGAATTTCAAGGCCTTGCATCAGTTTATAGTCTTTTTTGCTTTGCTGTTCCTTACACCCTCCAATGATTTAAGATATTGACAAAGCTCAAATTTAAATTTTATAAAACTAGGTGTATTTTTTGCCCATCGACATTCATGAATGTGATATTTCCCTAAGATAATAAATTAAGAACAAAACAATTTTTATTTTCTAAAAGCTTATCATAAAAAATACAATATTTTTGTCCTCCAAAGTAATGTCAGTTCCAGAGATCTCCTTAAAAAAGACCTCAAAAAAAAAAAAAGGTGACAAATAGTCTCATCATTCAAATTACAAAACTGACATTTCAAATCAATACCATTCTTAAATCTTTTTATAACCTGATTTACTGGGTAAATAAGATGGATAATTTTAAATGAAACCTCGTGAATCTTATTGACACAATAAGATTATCTCCTGGAAACCAAAAATGCCTGCACTTAATGTCCCGGAAGCGTGAATTCCAGAAACTTTTAGCTGGGGGTATCCTAAGTGAATGACAAATATGTCTAAGAAAATTATTATTGCATTTTTAATCAACAATATTTATACCATCTAACCTTAAACTAAAATCAATAGTTACATCCAAATCAACAGCATTAGCACCACGCAACAACTGAAGGAGACCAGAAGGTGTAGCATCACAAGACGAGTGCATAATCCTTTGGGAGATATTGGCTATTTTATCCTTTGCAGATATTTGAATTTATCCAGAAATTCTCCATATGAAAGTAAGCGACCATCATAGTGAAACAACCAATAAAATGTTTCTAAACCAATATTCAAAAAAAGTGTTTTATTCTTATATTTAACATCTTTATTATTCCATATCAAACATTTGTGGGGAGATAAATTCTGGTTGTCTGTTTGTACACCAGCACTCAGGATAACAGAGCTTGCCTATGAAAGTTAGACAGCTTAATGGGGATTTTATTAATATCAAAGTTACAATTGAGGAGACATGTAATACCGCCAAACCATTAAAAACTAAATTTGGGATATAATACCACAATTTGTTATTAGATTTAATATCATTCTGAATCCATTTAATTTTAAAAATAGTATTAGAAACTTCAAAGTCAGTAGCATTTAAACCACCTTGATGAAATCAATTGCCTAATATACCGCTATTTAAGTATTGTGCCCTATTCTTCCAAATAAAATTATACATTTTCTTATTATATATATATATATCGATATGTCAGTCCAGACGCGACCCAGACAGACCTCGGCCCTGGGGCCCAGCCGTGAGAGCCGCGTCGTGATTGGCTGAGCGCCGCCGTCCTTTTGAGACTCGCCCTCCTATTGGCTGGAGCCGGGCGAGACGCTCACTCGCACAATGTCTACCCGCTTTTGTTATTGTAGCGAGCGGCCAGGATGCGGAGACAGCGAGCCTGGTAGTCCGCTATCGACTCCGATACACTCAAATTAGATGCTGGAGGGGGAAGGGGGCACGATTTACTACCTCTCCGTCCTTGTCCAGAAGACAGCTTTTCGCTATTCTCCAACAATACGACCGATGTGTGAGTATTTTGACATCTTTTGTGCGTCTGTTTTATTCATCTTTAGATGCACGTTGCACCGTTCGAGACCGTAGCAGAAACTGAGCGGATTCTGCGATACATTTCGCTCGTTAGGGAGCATATTGCGTCTGGCCGTGTCGTAATAACCCATCTTTGCCCTTGTCTGAGCTTTGAAATATTTCGGAACTGTCTAGCGTTTGAATACTGTCTCGAGACGCCGACATGTCCACCCTCTCACAGCAAGTTCGCGAGCAGGAGGCTGTTCATTCAACAGTTCGCCTTGATTTGATTGACCCGACTAGTTAGTTGGTTTGCATGTCACCTTAACTCGCTCTTATGCAGCGGGAGCGCGTGAAGTGTTTAGACGGCGGACTCGGTGACGTCATGTGACCGCTGTGTTTGTTTGCCTGCAGAGCAGTCAACAGTTTGGCTTTAACTTTGCATGACATTTTATGAGCTGCAATATTATCCTACAGTACGCTGGGAATGTGTTGGATGAGGTATTGTGTAGTTTAAACATTAGGGCTTTCTATTGAATTAGGCCTGATGTTAGGCTATTATTATTTCATGTAGCCTAATATATACAATATTGCATGTTAAATCTGTTAATGAAAGTCTGCGTCTTAAAATGGGACCATAAACCTTGGGGTTTCGTTATTATGTGATATCTAAAGCTGGGTTTGGATCCGAATGTCCTCTAGAATCAGGCCGCCATGCTTTAGTCAAGTACACTGTACTACATATGATGAAATAACAGAGTAATACACCCAGATAAGAAGAGAGGAATAATGCATGAGTGTTTCTGTCAGAAGAAGCTAAAAAGAAACCGCTTTCTCAAATATTACAGCGTATTAAATCACTTCATCTGATAGCATTGTACATTCTATCTTAATGTAAAGTTGTTCCTCTGGTGCTCTGCCTCAAGGGCCACTTGCGCAGACATGGAGAGCATCGCTGAATCTGATAATAAGGGTCTCGGAGACGCTCCCCCCAGATTAGAGTTGATGATGTTCAGAGATCTGAAGTGTCAGGATCCGTCAGCGCTCCACCAGCTCTCAATTACCACTGCACTCTAGAAATCTTGCACTTTTGCACTTGCAACATCTCATGCAAAGATCACAGGGGTTTTCATCACCGAAAAATGACATTTCTGCTTCTTATGTACAGAATACAAATTCAAGCTCATCACTGCTGTATAAACCACCTCGGTCACTTGCAGCATATGCAGTTTTTTTTCCTATCTCACTTTATTGTGCGTGGAAAACTGGGAGTATGTGGCCTTCAAGTGAAGTCGGAAATGTCCTAATTACAAGTTCTGACCAAGCAAAGTCATATTTACGAGTGCAGAAAATCAAATTTCTTGATTAAACACGAGTTGCCGAGTTGTGATGTTGCAAGGGGAACATTGTGGAAACACTGATCTATAACATAGATATCATAGGCCTGTCTGTAACCTATAGAGATCAGTGAGAGGATAGCAATAATGCAAGGGAGTAATGCAAGTTGCTTTGATTTTACATGCTGTATTTCAGTCGTTTTATCAATGTGAATTCAGATATACTTTTTGTTCACAATTGCTTTGTTTTGTTTAGGCTACATCTTAAATGCAAATTCATAACAACAAATGCCCGACTTGGAAGTATGAGTTTCCCAGATGAACTTGAAGGCAGCATAAGCCATTTGTTGGCTGGCTCCTTACACTAAATGTTACTGCTTTTTGGCTTTTTTAAACATTTGGAATATTTGGAATTGCATACTAATTTACTACTCTTACTATTTCCGCAGTATTTGGTATGCATGCTGTGCAAATATGCAGTTTTTGTATACATGGAGCAGACAATGTGCAGTAATATGTCAAAGCACACCTTATGGAATACTGTATCCCATAATCCAATGCACTTAACTTCCATTCCCAGTGTGACAAATTATCTTTTTTAGACTCATTATTTGATCAAACTGCCACAAGCCTGACATTTTTATACAAAATGTAATACAACAATACAAAATGACAAAGCATCATCTTGACATCCAGGAAAAGGAATTAAAAAGACATGCACAGTTAAAGGGATAGTTCACCCAAAAATTAAAATTCTGTCATTAATTACTCACCCTCAAGGCCCAGAAAGGTAGTAAGGACATTGTTAAAATAGCCCATGTGTCATCAGTGGTTCAAAGACTGACACGGAAGAGAATAAATTGTTGAATAAAGTTGATATATTTTTGTTTTCTTTGCGCACGAAACGTATTCTCGTAGCTTAATTTACTACAGTTGAACCACTGATGACACATGGGCTATTTTAACGATGTCCTTACTACCTTTCTGGGCCTTGAATGTGTCAGTTGCATTGCTGTCTATGCAGGCTCTCGGATTTCATCAAAAATATCTTACATTTGTGTTCCAAAGATGAACGAAGGTCTTACGGGTTTGGAACGACATGAGGGTGAGTAATTAATGACAGAATTTTCATTTGTGGGTGAACTATTTTAGGAAACTGAGCATAATTATAGCTATGATATATTGAGCGATTCTACCACTAATGTCCATGCAGCATTACTACGGCACTGACAGTGTGTTGGCACACTAGATGCAGCGTGTAAGTGTCGTGTGTTGATGCTGCTGTTCTGTTTTCCCATCTGTCAGAGCAGCAGGATGTCCGTGAACTCTCCCAACAGTAATGACGCCTGCCTCAGTATCGTGCACAGCCTCATGTGCCACAGGCAGGGCGGCGAAAACGAGGGCTTCGCCAAGCGTGCCATCGAGAGCCTGGTCAAGAAACTGAAGGAGAAGAAGGACGAGCTGGACTCCCTCATCACCGCCATCACCACCAACGGAGTCCATCCAAGCAAGTGCGTGACCATCCAGAGGACGCTGGACGGACGCCTACAGGTGAACCACGCTTACAGTAACTGACGCTCAACCATTAACATTCGCTTTAATGCAGTGAATTCCAGGAATCCCTCCAAATGTTAAGGCTGAATGGACTGAATGGATGAGTCATGTCTTCATTTGGCAGGTTTTTCTTGTCTGCTTTACTCAGTGTTAGATGGCTTTTTCAGACAGGCACTGAATTGCTGTTTTAGGTTGTCATTCTGTCAGTGTGAAGGTTTGATGAAGGTTTGTGGACATGACACAGCGGTCATTCAGTGAGGATGTGTCTTTGTCACAAAAAACTAGCAATAGGCTAGATTGGCCAAGTCGATTATTGGCCGTTTAGTGCTGTCAATGAACAATGTATACTTAAAAAAAAAAAAGAAAGAAAACGTAATATAGCATAAATATAGATGTAAATATGTAAAAGAGTAAATAAAGCATAATAATAAATAAATACTCCCCTGCATACCCAAATGGTTTCAAATGTAAGAAATCCAATATTTTATGGAGATAGCTATGTTTTGGTCATGATTCCGATTCATTAATTTGTGACAGCAGTTACAAATGAAACACGAATGAAACAAAACATAAAGTAAATAAATAAATAAATAACATTTTGTTCACGCAAACTACAACAGATTGATTCTCTTTTCTGAGTAAATATTGTATAAAATAATTCCTATAATTCCCACAAATTTAAAATTCACATCTAATTTAGGATCAATAAATTCTATTCTATATACTGTACACTCCTCCTCACATGGGCTATTTTAACGATGTCCTTACTACCTTTCTGGGCCTTGAATGTGTCAGTTGCATTGCTGTCTATGCAGGCTCTCGGATTTCATCAAAAATATCTTACATTTGTGTTCCAAAGATGAACGAAGGTCTTACGGGTTTGGAACGACATGAGGGTGAGTAATTAATGACAGAATTTTCATTTGTGGGTGAACTATTTTAGGAAACTGAGCATAATTATAGCTATGATATATTGAGCGATTCTACCACTAATGTCCATGCAGCATTACTACGGCACTGACAGTGTGTTGGCACACTAGATGCAGCGTGTAAGTGTCGTGTGTTGATGCTGCTGTTCTGTTTTCCCATCTGTCAGAGCAGCAGGATGTCCGTGAACTCTCCCAACAGTAATGACGCCTGCCTCAGTATCGTGCACAGCCTCATGTGCCACAGGCAGGGCGGCGAAAACGAGGGCTTCGCCAAGCGTGCCATCGAGAGCCTGGTCAAGAAACTGAAGGAGAAGAAGGACGAGCTGGACTCCCTCATCACCGCCATCACCACCAACGGAGTCCATCCAAGCAAGTGCGTGACCATCCAGAGGACGCTGGACGGACGCCTACAGGTGAACCACGCTTACAGTAACTGACGCTCAACCATTAACATTCGCTTTAATGCAGTGAATTCCAGGAATCCCTCCAAATGTTAAGGCTGAATGGACTGAATGGATGAGTCATGTCTTCATTTGGCAGGTTTTTCTTGTCTGCTTTACTCAGTGTTAGATGGCTTTTTCAGACAGGCACTGAATTGCTGTTTTAGGTTGTCATTCTGTCAGTGTGAAGGTTTGATGAAGGTTTGTGGACATGACACAGCGGTCATTCAGTGAGGATGTGTCTTTGTCACAAAAAACTAGCAATAGGCTAGATTGGCCAAGTCGATTATTGGCCGTTTAGTGCTGTCAATGAACAATGTATACTTAAAAAAAAAAAGAAAGAAAACGTAATATAGCATAAATATAGATGTAAATATGTAAAAGAGTAAATAAAGCATAATAATAAATAAATACTCCCCTGCATACCCAAATGGTTTCAAATGTAAGAAATCCAATATTTTATGGAGATAGCTATGTTTTGGTCATGATTCCGATTCATTAATTTGTGACAGCAGTTACAAATGAAACACGAATGAAACAAAACATAAAGTAAATAAATAAATAAATAACATTTTGTTCACGCAAACTACAACAGATTGATTCTCTTTTCTGAGTAAATATTGTATAAAATAATTCCTATAATTCCCACAAATTTAAAATTCACATCTAATTTAGGATCAATAAATTCTATTCTATATACTGTACACTCCTCCTCCCAGGTTTGGTGTTGGTAATTTTTTTTTAATATTTTTGAACGAAGTCTCTCACCAAGGCTGCATTTATTTGATCATAAATTCCGCAAAGACAGCAATTTTGTGAAATATTATTACCATTTAAAATAACAAGTTTCTATTTGCACATATATTTAAAAATATAATAGATTTTTTGTATGCAAAGCTGAATTTTCAGCATCATTACTCCAGTCTTCAGTGTCACACGATCCTTCAGAAATCATTCTAATATGCTGATCTGATGCTCAAGTAACTTGATTATTAACGTAACATTATAAATGTCTTTACTGTCGCTTTTGATTAAATTAATGCATCACTGTATTAATAAAAAAAAAAAAAAATCTTACTGACCCCAAATTTTTGAATAAAACCACACATAGAACTTATATCGATGGCAAATACAAGTCATAAGCAATGGAAGTGTAGTAATCACATGTTTTTACCATATTTAAATCCATACCACAGATTTTCCTTGGAAAAACAGCCCAGAAAATACAAAAAGCTTTGTAGATTCTATCTAAGATTCATCGTCTGTCCCGCTCTATAGATATCGGTTTTGGCATCCGCCGTTTTAAAACTTATATCAGTCAACCACTGTATAAAGTCCCTTTCCCCAGTCTAGAATAACATTGGAAAGTGTGTTTTCCTACATTGTTCACACAATTGTGTTTCTCCTAATCTATTTGTAAATCCTGCGATAAATAAAGCCAGACAGTGTAAATAATCAAGGCATTGTCCGTTGAATAAACGTAGTGATTGGGTGTTGCTAATCGCGTCCACACCACCCACATCTGAACATACGGCTTTCATATGAGAGACGGATGCAGTCGCAGCTTCAGCCAATGCTGATAGCTTCCTGCCTGTAGCATCGGTCTCCATGGATACTAGATGATTGACAGCAGCTACAAAGAGAGACATTCATCTGTAAACCTCAACAACCTCAAAGTAAAAGTGGTGGTTTATATGGAGGAGGACGGCGTCTGCGCAGTTTCCCCTCCCTTCGGTATGGGCAGATTTAGAGGGAGGGGTGGAGGAGAGGCTGTGAAGGTTGTTTTGTCTAAAACACAGGAAAGGGGCCGGGTTAACTTAAGGCCGTCTATTTTTTCCTCTGTGTAGAAGGGCTGCTTGTATATAGTCCGTGCTATTTTTTACACACAAGATGTGATGATATCCAGGCAACACAAGGGAAAAAAGCCATGTATGTGCAGTAACAGAGAATCTGGTGCAGTAAAGCCGAACTACTGAGTGAAGACATAATGCGTCACTTTTATTGACCTTATCATAGACAGTGAGAGCATGGGAGAGCAAGTTACTATTGTAAAATAGCTGTATGATACATGCACACCTCTGACTGCACAGATATTATTATCTGTTTATCACCAATATTCTTATCACAAACATTATTATTGCACCAAGTATGAATCTTTATGATGCAATCTAAAGTAATAAACTATATTACTTGGTATAGGATTTTTAAAATGATAATTTATAGATATTTTTTAAATGTATTAATTTATTTTTGTGTTTACCTAATTGCATTTAATGTGCGCTTGTAGTTGTACTTCAAATCTTAAAAGTATGTTTAAAAATATGAACTTGCAGATAATATAAGGTTACAAAAGTGTACTCAAAGAGAGTTCTCTTCCATGACTTCCATGGCAAATCAAAATGTTGACTTTCAAGTACATTTTAAATCATTATGTTTTAATAATTTTTTATCGTGCTTTAAAGAAATACATTTATTTCGATGTGTTGACTAACATACTAAAGCACATGTAAAGTACTTGATTATAATTTTAACTGTAGTGTGTTATTCAACATTTCATTTAATGTTAATATATTCACATTAAATGCACAAATATTAATGCGACGAATATTAATATATTTAATATTTAATGTTAATATAACGTGCTAAATTGCAACTTCATCATTACAAATGTGCAATTACAAATATATTTAAATACATGACATACAAGATTCAATAGAAATTACATTCAATTATATTTTAGTTTATCATAAAGGTTTTGCATTCAGCAGTACATTTTAACCATATTGCAAAGACAATAGAAGTAATTATGAAATCCTAATTGTGTCGAAAAGCACTCTAAAGGTCAGCCATGCATTCAATATAAATTTGAACTGTAATACATTTTCATTTAATTGCAATTAACATGCAAAAATGGTCTGAAAACATTACATATACTTAATTAAAATAATACTATATTATTATATAATACTATAGGCCCCACTTTATATTAAGTGTCCTTAACTACTATGTACTTGCATTTAATTTCAATTTAAAAAGTGTTTTGCAATTAAACATGAACACAATAAGTACAGTGTGCCTAACAATTAATTTTATTATTATTATTATTAAGTACATACAAATATTTAAAGACACCTATATTAAAAAAAAGTGGGACCTGCTATATTGTTTTATATTAGAGTGTGCTTCTTTTTCATTAGTGTCTTTCTGGTTTATCTTTCTGGTTCTTTCTGGTTTGGATGTTGATATCCATCAAGATATTTAATGCTATTAAAACGGGAATGAAGAATATTCCTACATTTTGTTCCACAATGAATGAATGTGAACATCATTTTTTGATATTTAGAAATAAACATCAAGTTGATCTTCGATCTTGTGGATTTTACCCCCGATACATATCTCTACGTTAAGGGAATTTTAAGCGTTTTGTAAAGCAACAACATCCCAAAACCACAGTAAAATCACTAGCACATGGTTATTGCGTTAGTAGATGTTTGGTAGTATTATTCATCAGAACATGTTCACCAATGTTTGTCAGATGTGTTTCAATATGTAGGTTTTATAAAGACAAACAAGTTGACTTTTCAAGTTTTAATGTAATTTTTAATAATGAATAATATTAGCATTTTTATATATAATGTAATGGAGATGTCCACCTGGTGTAAGTAGGCTTTAGTGACCAGCGAGACTCTATTGTCCGCTCTGAGGTTTGAACCCTGGCTCTTTTGGTTAGCAGCCCCACCACATTTGTGTCTGTTTCAGTGCGTCTGCACTACAGAAAGGCACTGACAGCTGGATTTATCCCTCTGCTCAGCTCTCTCTCGTATCATGCTGCTAGCGCACAACTGTAGCGTCATGCCTCTAGTGTTAATCTACAGAGGATTATCATATAACACGCGTCCTCCTGCTGCCCCGTTCCTCCAAACACATACGGGCAGCTGTGATACACACTCAAAACTCAACACATGACCTTACGCTCAATGTGCTTTCAGGATCATGTGACGCTCTTTTGTCATACTACTGCGTTCCTGTCACATACGTGCTGTGTTAAAGGGGTCATATGATGCTGCTAAAAAGAAGATTATTTGGTGTAATGAAATGTGTTTATGTGGTTTAAGGTTCAAAAAACACATTATTTTCCACATACTGTACACAAACAAAGTAGTTTCGCTTTCACAACGAAACACACAGCGTCTTCACAACATGGTGTTGGCAGCAACAATAAAGTTACGCCTTCTTTCTTTGCGTGAACATTTGGGCGGCGTTATGCAAATCTTCCCACATAGTGAGGTAAATATGTGGGGGGTGTTAGAGCGAGCCGTTTTAGGTAGGTGTGGCTGACTCTTAACGTTTATAAAGAATATCTCTTTGGATTTGAGACTTTAGTCTTTGCAACTTTAGGGATCTTATATATTCACAAACAGCTTGTAACACTCCAAAGAGAAAGGAGAATTGAAATCGCATCATATGACCCCTTTAAAACATTTTGGTCATTTTGGTGTGTCTTTAGCAGAAGTTTGACTTGTGCTTGTTAGAGTGGCGTTGCGTTTGGTCATGTGATCCAATGCACTGAGCCGCTTCACTCGTATGGGCAACATGAGCTTGTTCAGTTCCTGATCTCGGTTCCCATCTTTCAATAATAGACATGCAGGCCAAAAGTAAAATTTAAAACAATGCCTTTGCTGAAGAGTGTGAGGAATCGATAGTCAACTATAATGAATTACATTATATAAAACTAAAAAATTTAGGTTTTAAAAATTGTGATTTTACAATCACATGTATTTCACACAGTTTAAATATGCTAATATGTATAAAAAATAGTGCTGTCAAATGATTAATCGCGATTAATCGCATCCAAAATAAAAGTTTTTGTTTACATAATATATGTATGTGTACTGTGTATATTTATTATGTATTTATAAATACAAACACATGCTTGTATATATTTAAGAAAAATAAGTTGTTTATATTTTAAATATATTTATATATAATATAAATTATATGAATATAAATATATACATGTAAATGTTTTTGAAATATATACTGTATGTGTCTGTATTTATAAATACATAATAAATATACACAGTGCACACACATATATTATGTAAACAAAAACTTTTATTTTGGATGCGATTAATCGCGATTAATCGTTTGACAGCACTAATAAAAAAATAAAAATACATCATTATAATACATTAAATGCAATATTATTATTAACTAAAGCTAAAACTAACTTTCAAATGTAGTTTTGAAAGTTATTGAAATAAGCCTGAAATAAAATAAAATATAAATACTAGATGGAAAAATAAAAAACTGAAATTCATTAATATAAATATATACATTTATTAATATAATGTCTAATACATAAAAAAAACTGAATAATAATAAATTAAATATGCTAGGTAGAGTTATTGTTAAGAAACACATAAAAAGCACATAAAAGTACTAAAACTTAAGCCAAATTTAAAATGAAAAAAATGCTATAATTTATTGTAGTTTATTATAATTTATTAAACTATAATTAGTTAGTAAATATTAAAATAACACTGTAGTGATCACATAATTTAGTAATAGATTAAAATTGTTTGTGTTTGATAAGGCATGCTTTAATGATTATGAAAACAATCAAATTAAACCAAATCATGACCTGAAATCATGTTTCAGGTATCATGGTGTATGACTGCCTGCATCATTTCGACAATAATTTAGAAAATGATCTGAATTGAATTGTGTGAAATATTTAAACCACTAATACAGGTTTTATATTAACGCTTGGAACATTCAAAGTTTTAATTGGTTTGAAAAATTTCCCACGACTGGTTAATATCTACATTATTATTGTGCAGTACTTAACAGATTATTTTTCCTTCTTCAGTATTATTGTACTATGTTGTAATCCTCATTCCTCATGTTTTCTTTCTGTAGGTTGCTGGGCGTAAAGGTTTTCCTCATGTAATCTATGCGCGGTTGTGGCGCTGGCCTGACCTTCACAAGAACGAGCTGAAGCATGTGAAATTCTGTCAGTACGCATTTGACCTCAAATACGATAATGTCTGTGTCAACCCTTACCATTATGAGAGAGTGGTGTCACCAGGCATCGGTGAGTCTGCTGTCCTTTCATTCATCACCATGCACCAAGACATTACTGTGCTGTGTGCAGCACTTCCTGAGTCTGCAAAAATACAGTCTCATGCTTTTCTGTCAGTGCAGGAAAACTTGTAATAAGTTTTTCTCTTTTTTTTCTTTCTCTCATCTCAAGTTGGTCTCAGTCTTCAAAACACGGGTAAGTTATGCAATAATCAGTGTTGGGGAGTAACTAGTTAAATGTAAAGGAATTCCGTAATTTAATTACAAAATAAATGTAATACTAATCAGTTACAGTTACGAAGAAAAAAGTGTAATTAAATTACAGTTACTTCTGAAAATGTTAACGGTTACAAAGGGGGTTACATCTGAATTTTTACTCACACATACAGATTTAATTGATTTCTTTCCCAAAATGCACTGACTGCTCTAAAATATGAGACACCAATGTTTCAGGAGTTTAGGACACAGAATTTATTTTTTAAGATTAACTGTTTTTTTCCCAGGGCATTGTTAGATGCCAGTGTTTTCTGTCATAGCTATGCTAAACACACACACACACACACACGCACTATGGTTCAAATGTTTAGAATAATGAATATTTTTAATTATAAATAATTAAGAATTAAGAAGTCTCTTATGTTCACCAAGGCTGCATTTATTTGATCAGAAACAGTAATATTGTAGAATATTATTAAAATTTCAAATGACCGTTTTTCTATTTGAATATTTTAAAATGTAATTTATTTCTGTGATGCAAAGTTAATAAAATCCTTCAGAAATCATTCTAATATGATGACTTGCTGTTCAAGAAACATGATTATTAAAAATGTAATTACATCAGACTTTTAACTTTAAAAATTTTTTTTTTTATTACATTAAATCAAATGATAAATGATACAATTTCTAAAATATATATATTTTTAAAAATATAAATTTATTTATTGAAATATTTATTAATGAACCGATAAAGTTACGAAATTATGAAATATTGAACATGATGATAAACAGTGTTATTTTACGTTTTTCAACAAAAACATTACTTGCCATTCCACACAGGTTCAAAAAAGATTCACTGATTCAATTAAGTCCCAAATGAATCTGTGATTTTTTTTTTTTTTAATGAACTGACTCAATTTGTCCTCTGGCTGGTATGTAGGTCCCACTGGCAGACTAATAAAGGAAGAGTACAGCCACGACTGCATCCAGATGGACGTTCCTCAGGGTCAACTCATGACCCCTACACCTCCCCCCTCCACCCCCACACATGGACCCCCACAGACCCCCGTCCCACCGCAGTCTCCACCCAACCAGAACGGCTACAACAGCTCCAAACACTCCCAGACGCAAGGCTCCTTACACAGTGAGTATCACACCACGTCCTAACCAATCACAACGCGACTAGTGATACATTCATTTAGTGATAACAATAAGTTTGTGTTAATTTGAGTTTTTGACCAGTGTTACAAATACCTTGTTTACATGTACATCATTTTCTGATTAAGGTTATAATAACAATAAATTATGCATAATTACACTATTTGACTTCATCCTTAAAACACATTTTTTTTTCTCTCTTTTCTTTAATCTTTCCCTGTCTAGTTTGTACTTATTTGAACAATGCTTGAAACTTGGTATGATGAGCACTTCCTGTGTCTATTTGCCTCTTTAAGATGAATCGCTTGATGTATTCCCCAATTGTAAGTCGCTTTGGATAAAAGCGTCTGCTAAATGAATAAATATAAATGTACAAGCAAGTAACCCTAAGCCAAACCCTAATCCTAACTCTAACCATATAGTAAGTACAAGTAGTTAATTAATATTACTCAGTACTTAAATATATAATTACACTGTAACAAGGACACCTTAATATAAAGTGTAACCTGAATTTGCATTTTCAGTAAGCCCGTCTGCTGTTTTTGTTCAGACCAATGCGAAAATCGACCCATATGCACTGCAGCAAACGCACAGTTATAAATGTGAACCAGTGGATCGACAAGAAGCTAATGCTAAAGCATTATAAAAATCTAAATAATTAAGATATATTTATGTTATTTAATATAATAATTGATTAATAATAATTGTTTAAATTAAACAATCTCTCTTTAAACAATCTCTTTAAAACCAAAATTGTTCAAAGGCTGAAATGTGAAGTTTATCATTTTACAAAACATTTTGTTTTTGTGAAAACCTGTATCTAAACTGTAAATAAAGCTCATATTTACAGTTTAATGTGTTACCATAGACATTGCCCTAAAGTGCTCATATGGTATTAATTTTATTTGTGCAGGCCTTAAAAAGGTTTTAAAAAGTCTGAAATTTGATTTTAAAAATCCTGCAGATACCCTGTAGTAATAAGTTATTTAAGTATTATTTTTATACTATTATGTTATTCAATAAATAAAACCTGTTTCTGTCAATTAATATTATTATTATTTAGTATTTTTAATGTATTATTAAAGTTATTTATATTCTTTATTACCTTTATTTTTACATTTTCAGTTTTATTTAAAATTTTGTTTACATTTTAGTAATTTTCTTATGTGTTTTTGACTTTTTTATTATTATTACTTTTTATATATTTTTCTTTAGCTTTACATTTTTTTTAAAATTTTAGTTGTAGTGTTAGTAGTTTGTGTTTTTCATCTAACATTTATGATTTAATTTCAGCTTTATTTCAATTAATGAAACCTTTTTAATAATTTTAGTATTAGTTAATAATAACATCTTGGTTTCTGTTTCTGTAGCCCCGCCCACAGTGAAATCTCACTGATCCAAACTGCTCTCCTCAAAGCTGTATATCAAACATCACATATATTGGCCGTGGCTTCGGCATGTACTTTCTCTTTCAGTGTAGACAGATAAAATACTTGTCGCTGGAAACTTGTCGTGTCATGCCTGTTTAGGTGTTATGATCTTTTCACTGCTTCATATACAAAACCTTTCTAATCTCTAAATTGCTGCAGCAACCTGGACAGGCAGCAGCACAGCTTCCTACACTCCTTTAGGACCCCAGCAAAACGGACGCGGCCACCAGCCTCCTCTCCACCACCCACACTTCTGTACGCTTGCCTTAAACACTGCTACAAACATGTTTGCAAATATACCATTATTTTGAATAGAACTGAATCAATCCATTATTATTTCTTTCTCTATCAGGGTCTCAGCATCACAGTTCAGCGTCTTTCCCCCCTCCAGTCTCCAACCATCCAGGTTTATACTTTATATAGTCTTCTCCCCACTAAAACACACAATTTAATAGAATTTTAAAAGAAATTAATACTTCTATTCAGCAAGGACACATTAAATTGATCAAGAGTGCATCCACAGGTCCTGAGTTCTGGTGCTCCATCTCGTACTTCGAGATGGATGTGCAGGTGGGGGAGATGTTTAAAGTGCTGTCCAGTTGTCCGGTGGTGACGATTGACGGGTATGTGGACCCCTCAGGAGGAGACCGCTTCTGCCTGGGTCAGCTCAGTAATGTGCACCGCACAGACGCCAGTGAGCGCGCCAGGTATGTGTGCCGCAATCACACAACTGTTCCAGCCAATGAATCTCAGAGCTGAGTCACATATTGAATATTCACGATTTACTCAGTATTACTTTGTTGCAGATGTAAAACCAGCATTGTGTATTTGACAATGATTTTAATGTCCTTTTTATTTAGCTATTAAAAGAACACGCTGACTCAATTTGTCCTCTGGCTGGTATGTAGGTCCCACTGGCAGACTAATAAAGGAAGAGTACAGCCACGACTGCATCCAGATGGACGTTCCCCCAGGCCTGCCTCCTCAGCAGGACCACCAGGGGGCGATGAAACTCCCTCCTCCGGACCACTACGGCCAGCCACTGCCTCCTCTACAGCTGCCTTCAGAACCCAGCCGCGCGCCCCCACCGGTCACCCTTTACTCCAACATGCCCCTCTCCCCCACCGGTAAGTGCTGACCGCTGGCCACACAGGACTCTCAGCTGTTGTAATCACAGTGTCATCTTCCAAACTCTCATGTCTTTCAGCTTCAGGCTCTATGATGCCGATGCAGGGAGGTCACGGTGAAGGCTTACTTCAGATTGCGTCTCCTCAGGGTCAAGTCATGACCCCTACACCTCCCCCCTCCACCCCCACACATGGACCCCCACAGACCC